CTCAACACATGTTGTTATGAGTGAGACCATGCTGAGATGAATGGAACAGACCCAGCCCTCAAGATGCTTGTAATGAATCTATTACTGGGACAGACACAGACATGTGCTCATAAACATTATAAAGAAAGAGGGCCAGGTGAGGTGGTTCACACTGGTATGTAATCCGAGCACTTTGAGGGGCCGAGGCAGGTGGATAGCCTGAGCTCAGGGGTTTGAGACGAACCTGGACAACAAGGTGAAACACTGTCTCTACTAAAAATATAAAAAATTAGCCGGGTATGGTGGTGTATGCCTGCAGTCCCAGTTACTTGGGAGGCTGAGGCAGGAGAATTGCTTGAACCTGGGAGGCAGAGGTTTCAGTTAGCTGAGATCGCGCCACTGCACCACTGCACTCCGGCCTGGGTGACACAGCGAGACTCTGTCTCCAAAAAAAAGAGAAAGGGATCAAGGAGTCAAGGAGCCAGCAGGAGCTCCAGGGAGGGAAAGGGCTGTGTCAGATGCATCTCTGTGTCCTTGTTGCCTCGTAAAGGGTAGATACTCAGTATTTGCTGAATGAAGAAATTCTCTCTTCCATATAACTGAGCCTAAATCCTTGAGTTTAAAGGAAAACCCCAAAATAAATACTATGGCATTTTAATAGGTCAGAGGAAGATGCCACATCTAGATCAGGAAGGGTAGAAGAAATCAGGGTTCATGAAGGAGGTGGCAAGGTTGAAGTGAGAACTTCCAGGTCCAAGGAAAGAAATTAATAAAGGTATGGAGAGGAAAGGGAAAATGGAGAGCAGCCATGGGGAGTGAAGCAGCCAGATGGCTGCAACAAGGCATGGTGGCGATAAGGGTAGGGTAGGCTGGACCTGGGGATGAGGAGGGCGCAGCTGCTGGGTGGGAGAGTTTACTGGTCAGGCCCAGGGAAGCCATGGGCCTCACCATGGGGGAGCACCTTGATCAGAGAGATTAGTTGTGTTGGGATGATGAACTCAACACTGAGGGGAAGCTGGGACAGAAGAGGACAAGACTAAAGTCAGTGATAGCACTTCACTTTTCTATTCTAGGTGGAAACAAAAGCCACTAGGCTCTTACTTAGGAGATGACAGGGGGATTTTTTTTTTTTTTTTTGAGAAAAGGTCTCACTCTGTCACCCAGACTGGAGTGCAGTGGGATCTCAGCTCACTGCAGCCTTGACCTCCTGGGCTCAAGTCAGCCTCCTGTGTATTGGGACTACAGACATGCACCACCATGTTCGGCTAATTTTTGTAGAGACCAGGTTTTACCATGTTGCCTAAGCTGGTCTCAAACGCCTGGGCTCTATCCACCTTTGTCTTCCAAAATATTGGGATTACAGGTGTAAGGCACTGTGCCTGGCCTGGTAGAAGGATTAAGAAAAAAAAATTCCAGGCCAGACATGGAAGCTCACATCTGTAATCCCAGCACTTTGAAAGGCGGGGGTGGGAGGATCACTTGAACCCAGGAGACTAGACTGGACAACATAGTGAAGTCCCATCTCCACAAAAGACAAAAATTAGCTGGGCATGGTGGTGTAACTGGTGCCACTGCACTTTGAGTAGATGGGGTTTCAGTATATTGGCCAGGCTGGTCTTGAATTCCTGACCTCGGTGATCTGCCCACCTCGGCTTCCCAAAGTGCTAGGATTACTGCACCCAGCCAAATATATTGTTGCCCAATACTCTGGAGGCTGAAGTGGGAAGATCTCTTGAGCCTGCGAGGTAGAGGCTCCAGTAAGCACTGCCCTCCAGCCTGGGTGACAGAGTGAGAGTCTCTTTCAAAACAAAAACTTCCAGAAACCTAAAAAAACTGGAATGGGAAAGGCAGGTGGTTGTTTAGACACAGAGTCGGGGGTTTGGTGGGAGGCTAGAAAGGAGGAACAAAAATGACTCTGGGCCAAGCCTAAGTGACTGGGAAAATGTACTTTTAACAGAAATAAGAAGATGACAGGAACAGCCAGTTTTATTTAGAATGGGGCTGCACGAGTGAGCTTGGATTTTAATAGTTTCAGGTGCAAGGAAGGATAGCCGGTCTAGCCAGCAGGTGAAAATTTAGCGGTGATTACACAACAGCTTGGGAAATAGGCCTTTTGTTTTTAAAACAATATATCTGGCTGGGCACGGTAATCCTAGCACCTTGGGAGGCCGAGGCGGCCGGATCACCTGAGGTCAGGAGTTTGAGACCAGCCTGGCCAAAATGGTGAAACCCCATCTCTACTAAAAATACAAAAATTAGCCCAGTGTGGTGGCACACGCCTGTAGTCCTAGCTACTTGGGAGGCTGAGGCAGGAGAATCTCTTGAACCTGGGATGCAGAGGTTGCAGTGAGCTGAGATCACGCCACTGCACTCTAGCCTGGGCAATAGAACAAGACTCCATCTGAAAACAATAAAATAAAACAGTATATTTATTTGAATAGGTTGCACTGCCACATTTGGTAAAATGAAAATTAATTCTCCTTCCTATCCCCAGTTGCCGATTTTCTCTCTCCAGAGGTAACCACTGTTTGTGGAAAAATCCACTCAAACTGTTTTTTGCTAGTTTCTCATTCAACAACAATAAAGACAGATGATTTCTGTGATTAAATGGTTATGGGTTTTTCCTCACACAGCAACTAAGCAATCAGTTCTGTAACAGACACCAGCTGGGTATCCCCCAATTCAGTGCTGACACTGTCTTCCTGGAGGTAGCATCAGATCCCACAGGTTGAAGGCCCAGTCCCCAAGATTGCCCACCACTGCAGACACCAGTCCCAAGTCTAGGCTTCTGGAACTTCTGACCTACTGACTTCAAGTTGAGGTTTTCACAATTGCCTTTTTTAGTTCAATCAATTTGCTAGAGAGGTTCAAAGAACTCAGGAAAACACTTACGTTTATCGGTTTATTATAAAGGCTTATGCCTGTAATCCCATACTTTGGGAGGCCAAGGCATGTGGATCATCTGAGGTCATGAGTTCAAGACCAGCCTGGCCAATATGGCGAAACCTCATCTCTAATAAAAATACAAAAATTAGCCAGGTGTGGTGGTGTGTGCCTATAATCCCAGATACTCTGGAGGCTGAGGTAGGAGAATCACTTGAACCTGGGAGGCGGAGGTTGCAGTAAGCTGAGATCATGCCACTGTACTCCAGCCTGGGCAACAGAGCAAGACTCTGTGTCAAAAAAAAAAAAAAAAAAGATATTACCAAGGACATGGATGAAGAGATGCATATGGCAATGTCTGGGGGAAGGGATGAGGAGCTTCCATGCCCTCTCTGGGCATGCCACCCTCCAGGAACCTCCATGTATTCAGCTCTCAGGAGGCTCCCCAACCTTGCCTTATTAGGCCTTATATGGAGACTTTATTTGGATAGTCATGATTAACAACCATATAGAAATGTGATTGAACAGAAAGGGTATGATCTAATACTAATAGACTCACAGGGAAACCCAGTAAGGCCTATCCAGATTCTTCTTGGCAGCATTTCTTCCTCCTGGATATGAAGAGGACCTCTTCTCAAATGCGGGCATGGGGTCTTGCAACCTACAATCCAACAAGGTAGACCACAGAATTTTTTTTTTTTTTTTTTTGAGACCAAGTCTTACTCTGTTACTCATCCTGGAGTGCAGTGGCACGATCTCAGCTCACTGCAACCTCTGCCTGCTGGGTTCAAGTTATTCTCCTGCCTCAGCCTCCTGAGTAGCTGGCACTACAGGTATGTGCCACCATGCCCAGCTATTTTTTTGTATATATTTTTTTATTAGAGACAGGGTTTCACCTTGTTAGCCAGATGGTCTTGATCTCCTGCCCACCTTGGCCTCCCAAAGTGCTGGGATTACAGGCATGAGCCACTTCGCCTGGCCAGAATTTTTTCTTTTTTTTTTTTTTTTGAGATGGAGTCTTGCACTGTTGCATGGGCTGTAGTACAATGGTGCGATCTCAGCTCACTACAATCTCTGCCACCCAGGTTCAAGCTGTTCTCCTGCCTTAGCCTCCAGAGTAGCTGGGATCACAGGTGCCTGCCACCATGGTCAGCTAATTTTTTCATTCAGTAGAGACAGGGTTTCACTATGTTGACCAACCTGGTCTCGTACTCCTAACTTTGTGATCCGCTTGCCTTGGCCTCCCAAAATGCTGGGATTACAGGCATAAGCCACCGTGCCTGGCCCAGAATTTCTTTATGACCGGTTCCAAGACAGAAAGGTGGGGGAAGATTCCTGCTTTGGGAGAAAAAGCAGCAGGTGAAGGAAGGGCAGGAGAGGATCCGAGAGATTCTGTTTGCTGAGGCTGCTTCTGAGGCCTAAAGGGACCCAACATTATAACAGGAGCTATGGGAGTTAAGAGCCAGGAACCAAGTACCGTGAATGAAAATCTCTATCTCTATCTATCTATCTATCTATCTATCTATCTATCTATCTATCTATTAGTCTGTCTGTCTATCTATCAATCAATCATCACACTATCTTTACCAGTTTGAGTGTTATCTTAGAGATATTCTGTACACTTGTGATTTAATGTCCCCAGGAGACTTTTGTATTTTTATTTAAGGACTAGAGAAGACGTGTGTATCTCTGTGACAGAAGGAAAAGAACAAGGGGAGAGTCTGAAGAAGTAAATGAAAGAGGAACTACTAACTGGGCATGATAGCACATGCCTGTGTAGTGCCAGCTACTTGGGAGGCTGAGGCAGAAGGATCGCTTGAGCCCAGCTTGGGCAACAAAGCAAGACTCTATCTCAATTATTTACAAAAAGAAGAATTAGTGAAGCAAGTCCTCAGAGGAGGTGGGAGAGAGAGAATCAGTATAGTATGGGCATATGCTGTAGCAAGAAGGAGGGACCCTATTCATCCTTCTTGAATGAATCCTTCTTGGCAGGTTGATGGCAGCAGAAATTCCTGATGCTGTATCCTTTAGGAGGCCCAATTTCCTCAGCTTTGTAGTAGCTTGAACAGGATGCAGAAAAAATGTCAAATGGTCACTGTGGACACTAGGAAATATCACAGAACTGTCAGACCCAAAGAGTAATTCAAAAAGGTTTATTTTGATGATTTATAAAAGAAACAATTGCCATAGCAATTTAAAGCTATTTACAAGTTTAAAAATAAATTTACATAAATTATTCAAGTCACATTAAACAGTTTTAATTAAAACATTATAGGTAGTGTTGAACACAGAACATAAACTAAATTTTAAATCACATAGGTGCTCTGAAAGCATGCTCAACAACCACAACTGCTGGAGGATGGTCCACTGGAAAAATATGATTTCAGGAACCAGAAGTAAAGATGATGACCCTAGTCTCAGGTGATGTGGTCTTTTACTTTAAACTGCAACTGCAAATTTACATGAAGACAGACTGAACAAACAGTGAAAGTTAATTAAAAAAAAATTCTTGTGTAGCTTAAAAACCACAGAAGAGGCTGGGCACAGTGGCTCATGCCTGTGGTCCCAACACTTCGTGAGGCCGAGGCAGGAGGATGGCTTGAAGCTGGGAGTTAAAAAGGCCTGGGCAACAAAGTGAGACCCTGTCTCTACAAAATACAAACAAACGAAACATAGCACTTAGACATTTATACTGTGGTCCATGTGAGAGTAGATTTAAACCAGGATGATCTTATTTGTGATTGACTGCACATCGGATTTTTCTTTTGCAGGCTGCTGCACAGCTTCCTCTGTGCTGGGAAGGGAAAGTTTGAGGAGGCATTAAGACCACAGCAGTGGATCTCCCTGCTCCTGCCTTCTCATGGCTTTATCTACACATTAGTAGCCCCTCGGAGGAAGGGCACCAGCCGAAGAGTGAACACGGGCTCTGGGCTTGGATGCTGCCTCTGATAAATGCTGGGCACTCTGGCCCTGAAGCCAAGGAGGGAGTGCTTGGCAGCTGCCTGGGCACACTCCCCTCAGTACAGTTGCCAGGCCAAATTATACGGTGGCTGGTAGCTCCACGGAGATGCTAAAGTTTGAGATCTAAGTGTCAGAGCCAACAATTTTTATGAGGAAAGTGGACAAAAACAGGTGTTTATCAATACCTGAGAATTATCATCTAGTGTAATTAAGCAAAGGTTAGGTCTGTTTCAGCTCATTCCCTTAAGTATGGCCCTAAAAAATCAATAGAACTCTCCTACTTCATGTTGCCCAACTTGCAGGCAGGTATGTGAACCTAAAGTAGAAGTCCTAGCATACATATTATTCATAATTAAACAGTTCATTTTATTAATCTGGCAACTAGTGACATTTCATGATTATAGGTCTTCTTTTTATTTATTTATTTTATTATTTTTTTTTAAGATGGGGTTTCACCATGTTGGTCAGACTGGTCTTTAACTCCCAACCTCAGGTAATCCTCCCACCTTGGCCTCCAAAGTGCTTGGATTATAGGTGTGAGCCACCACGCCTGGCCGATTATAGGTTTTAAAAATCTAATACAAGTATAATTAAAACAGAGAATGCTTACACAATAAAATACCAAAGGCACTTTGAGGTTACATGATAAATACAAATACATCAATAGAGGCAGGATTTTTTATTGGTTCTTTCAGTGTTTGTGTCCATGGTGATCATTGAGAGCCCAGCTTTGTACTTCACCTTTGCCGAATAGTGTAAAGAAAATGGCACCAAAAACGTTAATAACAGCAGCGATATAGAACACGGTTTGCCATTCTCCAACAGTGTTCTATGAGAAAAGAAAAGAAATGCAAGTGAAGTTAAATTTTGTTTGTAGTTTACTAAAAAGATAGTGTCACAAGACTGTTAAAACAGCAACGTTATTAATAAAAGTCTCATCCCTGAAACAACCCAGATGTCCCCCAGCGGTAGGATTGTGGTATATTTGCTCAACAGAATATGATACATCAATGAGAATGGGCTACATCATAAATACAGCTCACAAACAAAATGTGAAGCAAAAGAAACCAGACAAAAAGAGTACATACTGAATGATTCCATGAATATAAAGCACAAAGTCAGACCATATTCATCTATGGGGTTAAAAGTCGGGAGAGTGGCTTCCCTTGGTGAGGGTGAAGAAAAAATAGCAGGAAGAGGTACATGGGGGCTTACTGAGGGAGGTAAGATTCTGTTTCTTGACTGGGTGCTGGTTATACAGATGTATTAAAAAAAATTTTTTTTTTGAGCTGGTCTTGCTCTGTCATCCAGACTGGAGTGCAGTGGCACAATCTCAGCTAAGCAATTCCCTGCCTCAGCCTCCTGAGTAGCTGAGATTACAGGCACATGCCGCCATGCCCGGCTAATTTTTGTATTTTTAGTAGAGACCAGGTCTCAGCATCTTGGTCAGGCTGGTCTTGAACTCCTGACCTCGTGATTCACCCGCCTCGGCCTCCCAAAGTGCTGGGATTACAGGCGTGAGCCACTGCGCTGGGCTACACAGATGTATTAACTTTGTGGAAATTCATCTAGCTGTACACTTTAGATTTGTACATTTATTTATTTTTATTTTTATTTTTGAGACAGAGTCTCACTCTGTCACCCGGGCTGGAGTACAGAGGGCAATCTTGGCTCACGGCAGCCTCCCACTTCCTGGGCTGAGGCAATCCTCCCAACACAGCCTTCCAAGGAGCTGGGATTAGAGGTGCATGCTACCATGCCCAGTTAATATATATATATATATATATTTTAGTAGAGATGGGGTTTCACCATGTTGTCCAGGCTGGCCTTGAACTTCTGGGCTAAAGCGATCTGCTTGCCTCAGCCTCCCACAGTGATGGTATTACAGATTTGAGCCACCACGCCTGGCCTGGATTTGTACATTTAAAAAAAAAGTTATACTTCAGTAAAAAGTTTACTGACAATAGACAGATATATTTCAATAAAAAGTGTACTGGCATGTCCCTGCATCCTGCCTGAATAACACTAACTAACACTAAGAAAGTGTTTGCCTGTGCATGGTCTCCCAAGTGCTTAGGTTAAAGGTGTCAGGTGGATCAAGTAAATATGGTTAAGATGGACTCAAGTGCAGCTTTGAGGATCTGGGACATTGTAGCAAGTGTAAAAGATCTTGAGTGGCACACAAAGCAGGACATACATGGGATCTGTCGTAAGACAACTGTTCAGTGTATATCCCTGTGGCATAAACATATCAGACAGTTATCTAAATTTCTGATTTCAATCTAACCAGAGTGACTACATTTGCAGCAATAAAAAAACCCAAAAAACAAAAAACAAGTAGGCCAGGCATGATGGCTCACACCTGTAATCCCAGCACTTTGGGAGGCTGAGGTAGGTGGATACCTTGAGCTCAGGAGTTTGAGACCAGCCTGGGGAAGGTGGTGAAACCCCATCTCTACAAAAAATAAAAAAATTAGCCAGACATGATGGTGCACACCTGTAGTCCCAGTTACTTAGGAGGCTGAGGTGAGAGGATTACCTGAGCCTGGGGTGGTTGAGGCTGCAGTGAGCCATGAGTGCGCCACTGCCCTCTAGCCTGGGCAAGAGAGTGAGAGACCCTGTCTCAAAAAAACAAAACCCCCAAACAAACAAGCAGTAGAACTAGCAGTGAGGAAGTGAAAGAGCAGGCACTGGGAAGCCAGTATGAGATCATTTATTTGGGAAGAAAGGAGAAACATGAAGAAAGGAATGCCCTGTGGTTGTTACACTCATCCGAGATGAATGCATTTTAGTGAAAAAAAAATCTTAGATACTCATTTTAAATTTTGGTGAGGAATCAGTCAATAATTACATCTTATACCAGAAAGAAATGTTTGAAACAGCTTCTTAGGATTACCAAGACAAAGCTGCCCTGTGTGGTCTCTGGGATAAAAGAATACTTCAGTGTTATCTGAAGGCAATGAGTGAACTTAAAATCAATCATTGTACTAGAAGTCTCACACAGCTCCTGGTTTGTTTTTTTTTTTTTTAACAAAAATCCCACCAGTTTTTAGAGAATACTGTTTTGTTTATAACAATGTTGAACCTTAGACACACTTTGAATTTTAATTATTGCATTATTTATTTATATGCTGATTCATTCCACAAAGTTTTTGAGGCAGTGCCTATTCCATAAAGTAAGAAAGTACAGGCTGGGCATGGTTGCTAACACCTGTAATTCCAGCACTTTAGGAGGCTGAGGCGGGCAGATCACTTGAGGTCAGGAGTTTGAGACCAGCCTGGCCAACGTGTTGAAACCCGATTTCTACTAAAAATACAAAAATTAGCCAGGTATGGTGGCACACTAATTTTTGTATTTTTAGGTATGTGGGAGGCTGAGGCAGGAGAATCATTTGAACCCAGGAGGTGAAGGTTACAGTGAGCCGAGATCATGCCACTGCATTCCAGCCTGCACAACAGAGTGAGACTCCATCTCAAAACAAAAACAAAGACAAAAATTAGCCTGGCGTGGTGGTGGGTGCCTATAGTCCCAGCTGCTCGAGAGGCTGAGGCAGGAGAATTGCTTGAACTTGGGAGGTGGAGCTGAGACTGCACCACTGTACTCTAGCCTGGGCAACAGAGTGTAACTCCATCTCGAAAATAAATAAATAATATAAAGTAAGTTTTATTTATTTATTTTTTTGAGACAGGGTCTCCTGCTGTCACCCAGGCTAGAATGCAGAGACATGATCATAGCTCACTGCAGCTTCAAACCCCTGGGCTCATGCATCCTCCTGCCTCAGCCTCCTAAGTAGCTGGGCCTACAGGTTTGAACCATACCCAGCTAAAACAGTGATATCTTTTTAATAGCATTAAACAAATGCTGTAACATCCCAAATCGAGCTCAGTTCCTCCTTGTAAACATACAAGACTTTGCTTCAGGAATCCATATTTCCCTAGCAGAAGTGCTGGCATTATCAGTAAGTGAAATGAACACATGGTAGTATGCTGATTTAGGTTCTGGTGTTGCCACCTTGCTCCATAAGGACAAAGTTAAACATTTTGGATGTGTCTATATTGAGACACAAGTTTAGAAAAAACATTTCTACAACATTCCTTTTTATTAAGTGGGAGAAAATAGTAACATGGAGGTACCACGTCACTTAAGGAATTAGAAATGGTGGATGTGGAGAAGAAATAGGAACACTATCTGTGGGAACACATATATGTATGAAATCAGTATATTTGGTAAAGTCTGTAAGTATGTCCTGAAATTTTAAGGATTATACATGCTGTTAATTTGATCACAGAGACAGAAAATTACCTCTTTTAGAGACTTGAGTTAGCCTCTTAAATAATATCTTATATACATACCTTTTTTTTGAATGGTAGAAAATTAAATTGAAAGGATCCTTTGAGGTCATTTATTTTTATTTATTTATTTATTTTTTTTTTTTTTGAGACAGAGCTTCACTCTTGTCGCCCAGGCTGGAGTACAATAGCATGATCTTGGCTCACTGCAACCTCCACCTCTTACGTTCAAGGGATTCTCTTGCCTCAGCCTTCCAAGTAGCTGGGATTATAGGCTCAAGTCACCATGCCCAGCTAATTTTTTGTATTTTTAGTAGAAACCCAATGGGGTTTCACCATGTTGGCCAGGCTGGTCCTGACCTCAGGTGATCTGCCCACCTTGGTTCTCAAAGTGCTGAGGTTACAGGCGTAAGCCACTGTGCCTGGCCATTTATTTTTATTTCTTACATAGTGAAGGAGACCTTTTAAATATGCTCTGCATGGAAAGCTGAGGCAGGAGAATTGCTTGAACCCAGGAGGTGGGGGTTGTAGTGAGCCAAGATGCTGCCACTGCACTCCAGCCTGGGCGGCAGAGCAAGACTTAGTGCCAAAAAACAAAAACAAAAACAAAATGCTCTGCTTACAGATCTTGCCTGTGTTGCCTTTCAGTTTCAGGGCTACCAACCCTGGGCCCACCCTCCCTCTAAGGGCTTGGTGCTCTTGCACAGGCTGGTGTGCCCGGCCTACCACACCATCTGGCTCACTCTCGTGGACTCCTTCCCCAGGAACAGAGAGGCTATTCCCTCCTCTCTTACAACAGCACTCCCTGCACATTTTTCCTGCAGCACGTGTCATGCTGTACCTTAATGATTTGATTATAGAAAATTTCCAAATGGTAAGTTTCTTAAGTGTAGAAGCAGCTTGCTGTTTTGTTTTTGAATCCTCAGTATCTAGCATGTTATTTATTTATTTTTTGAGCCGGAGTTTTGCTCTTGTTGCCCAGGCTGGAGTGCTATGGTGTGATCTCTGCTTACTGCAACCTCCACCTCCCAGGTTCAAGTGATTCTCCTGCCTCAGCCTCCTGAGTAGCTGGGATTACAGGCACGCACCACCACACCTGGCTATTTTTTTATATTTTTAGTAGAAATGAGGTTTCACTGTGTTGGCCAAGCTGGTCTCAAATTCCTGACCTGAGGTCATCCGCCTGTTTCAGCCTCATGCTGGGATTACAGGCATGAGCCACCTCACCCGGCCATATATCTAGCATATTAATAAGCACCTAAGAAATGCCTGTTGAATAAGTGTTTGATTGTTTCAGGGGTTACTAACCCTTAAGGTGGCTCATTCCATAAAGGAACAGCTTTGAACAAAGACTCTTCCTAATGTCTCCTCGTAACTTCTCTCAATCTGTCTTTGTGGATCTGCTGAGAATAAGTCTCCATCTTAACATTTAGTAGCCCTTCAAATATATGAAGACACCTTTTATGTCTTCCCGAGTTTTCTGGTACTCTAAACATTCTTGGTTATGACAACTTTTCCTCATTAATTCTCACATGACTTCCTGATACCTCACCTTCATGGGCTCACTTTTTAAATAATTTTACATTGCCAATTTTTATTTGTTCAAATCAAAGACAAAAATTATTTGTCTGGTATAATATCACAACTTTAACTACTGGTGTGGTTTTAGCTGCAAGATCTTCATTTGACTTAGTTCTACTGTTTTGTCTAAAATCTAAAAAGCGTTCTTTGAAAATACGCTTTCTCATCTAGTAAGGCATTTATTTTTTTGTTGCTATAAAGAATTTCATAAGAACATTTAGAATTTTACCCTTAATGAAAATACACTGAACTTTGACTCAGATGTGCAGTTCCAAAACCGTTCCAGTTTACGAGTAAATTATCTACTTACCTCAGGGGTCAGACTTTTAGCAATGACAGGCCCAACCATTCCTGGAACAGTGGCAAATGTATTTGTGATGCCCAGGAGGATACCAGCATACCTGTAGAAACATTTTTATGGAAGTTTATTATTGTGTTATACATTTAAACAGCTTCTTTCTTTTTTCTTTGAGACAGAGTCTCACTCTGTCACCCAGGCTGGAGTGCAGTGGCATGTTCTTGGCTCACTGCAGCCTCTGCCTCCTGGGTTCAAGTGTGCCTTAGCTTCCCAAGTAGCTGGGACTACAGGCATGCACCACCATGCCCAGCTAATTTTGTATTTTTAGTAGAACTGGGGTTTCACCATGCTGGCCAGGCTGGTCTTGAGCTCCTGATCTCTAGTGATCTGCCTGCTTCAGCCTCCCAAACTGCTGGGATTACAAGTGTGAGCCACTGCACCTGGCTGCTTCTTTCAGTAGACAGCTATTCTGCTCTCAGGTTGTGTTCCTGTGAAATTTATGTCTAAATAAAATGTCTTACTGAAATGGGATTTCATATTCAGCTGGTGAAAAACCTGCATTTCAATAGTTAAGTAGCATTTTAACATTACATAGAAGAACACAGCCATTGAAATAATCCCTTTTATAGTGATGTAGGAAAGTTCTGAGATATCATTTTCATACAGAAAGTTTGGCATATCTAGACTGAAGTTTTTTAAGTTAAAGAATTTCTTTCCTGATTTGAAAATTCAATTGTAATTAATTTTTGAAAATTAATAAAAGAAAAACAATAAGTAAATAAAATTAACTTTAATTCTTCCTTATAGAGATAATCAACATTAACATTTTCATAAATATCCGAATTATTTTTTTCTATCTGTATATATTTTTAGTATATTATTATAGACATGAGATCATATCAAACATACAATTTACTTGTTCCATTAATTACACATGTGCTTGTAGGTAAATTACTGCGTGCTGCCCTAAAAGAAGACAAGTTGGGTCTACATTGTGTGTATGGGTATGAATAAAAAGGGCATTTTAAATAAGTTTGGAAAAAGTTTCTCAAATGAAATGATTTATTTTAAGGGTGGATCATAGGAAACGGGATAGTCCTCTCTATGTCTACATGCAAATCTTTACAGAATTTTTGCCTGTATTTGGGAAATACTAATGACCTATTGATTTCTTTAATATATAAGGAATATATGTAGAATAAGAAATGTTACCTTAGCCAAGATCTTGAGTAAGTACTGTCATAAAAAGGAATGAAATTCCTATCATTTTCTATTAAAAAGTCATATTAAACTGATTATTAGGAAATTGAGATTCCCGACTAAGCTCCACCATTAACAATCTATGTGACCTGGGGCAAGTTATTGATGCTTTTTTATTTCCTTTTATTTTTATTGAGATGGAGTCTCTCTCTGTTGCCCAGGCTGAAGTGCAAGGACATGATCTTGACTTACTGCAGCCTCCGCCTCTCAGGTTCAAGCAATTTTCCCTCCTCAGGCTCCTGAGTAGCTGGGATTACAGGCACCAACCACCATGCCCAGCTAATTTTTTGTATTTTTAGTAGAGATGGTGTTTTGCCATGTTGGCCAGGCTGGTCTTGAACACCTGGCCTCAGGTGATCTGCCTACCTCGGCCTCCCAAAGTGCTGGGATTACAGGCATGAGCCACCATGCCTGGCCTATTATTTCCCTTATTATCCATTGGTTCACAAATGTATACATATAACATGTCAACCGTGAGCTCCCTCACACTCTATCAGATATACTAAAACAATTCATTTGAGTGTAAAATACATATGGAAAAGTGTACAAACCATCAGTGTAGAGCTTGCTGAATTTTCACAAAGTGAACACAACCATGTCACTAGCATCTGATCAAGAAATAGAACCTACTGGTATACACATTTTTAAGGACATTTTTCATGTGGTTGAACTACCTCTCAAACTGTATAAGCCTTCATCTGAATAGTCAGGTCACCCCTCTCTACCAAAAAACCTACTAGGATGGTTTAACCTTACTTTCAGAAGACTGCAATCTTCGGCCTGATTTGCAGTAGCCTGGCCTTGGTCCACCTACAGAGCCTTATTTCCTAGCACTGTACAATCATTCCTTCAGATCCAGACAGCTCCAGCTGCTCACATCTGTCATGTTCATTCCTGCTACTTATCTTTACTAACACTATACCTGCTGCCTGAATTCCACTCACCTTCCATCCTAACCACTTGTTTGGTGCTTATTCCATGAAGCTGTCTGTCTTGATCAGCTCATACTGAAGCTGTCCTCTCAGAATCTTTATTGTCCTTAAAGCTAGTATTATGTGTTTTAAGATATAAGTCCTTTAATTCAAGTTCACTAATTCTGACTCCATAATCTCATTGAAGAAGCATGTTTTATTTCCCTTCATTATATTCGGTGCCCAGTACAACACCTGTGCTCATTCAATATATGCTGACTAAAGAGAGGTATCATGTGACTCACACTAATCTAGGCCCTATGCACTGAACCATGGGGCTCTGACTGCACAGACCACTGGAGATTTTTCCATACAGACTAGAACTCCTCTAGCGCACTGCTCCAAAGAGTGACATTTCCTGATGAGGAATTTTATATGAACAGAATAGTACAGAATGTAACATTTTGGATTACATGCTAGGGTTACTATTATTCCAAACTGTTGTGTGTATTAATAATTTTTTTTTCCTTTGAGACAGAGTCTCACTCTGTCACCAAGGCTGGAGTGCAGCGGCATGATCTTGGCTCTTTGCAACCTCCACCTCCTGGGTTCAAGCGATTCTCCTGCCTCAGCCTCCCAAGTAGCTGTGACTACAGGCACCCGCCACCACACCCAGCTAATTTTTGTAATTTTAGTTGAGACGAGGTTTCACCATGTTGGCCAGGCTGGACTTGAACTCCTGATCTCAAGTGATCCACCCATCTTGGCCTCCCAAAGTGCTGGGATTACAGGTGTGTGCCACTGTGCCCAGCCATTGATTGATTAATTGATTGAGATAGAGTCTCGCTTGTCTCCCAGGCAGAGTGCAGTGGCACAATCTTGCCTCACTGCAACCTCCACCTCCCGAGTTCAAGCAATTTTCCTGTCTCAGCCTCCCAATTCTCCTGTCTCAGCCTCCCAAGTAGCTGGATTGCAGGTGCCTGTCACCTTGCCCAGCTAATTTTTTGTAGATATATATTTTTTAATAGAGATGGGGTTTTGGCCATGTTGGTCAGTCTGGTCTCGAACTCCTGACCTCAGGTGACCCACCCGCCTCGGCCTCCCCAAGTGCTAGGATTACAGGTGTGAGCCTCCGCACTTGGCCTGATAATTTATTTTTAAGATTGCTGTCTCTCTTTTTTTTTTTTGAGATGTAGTTTCACTGTTGTTGCCCAGGCTGGAGTGCAATGGTGTGATCTCGGCTCACTGCAACCTCCCCCTTCTGAGTTCACGTGACTCTCCTGCCTCAGCCCCCTAGCAGCTTGGATTACAGGCAATGTGCCATCATGCCTGGCTAATTTTATATTTTTAGTAGAGACGGGGTTTTACCATGTTGGTCAGGCTGCTCTCGAACTCCTGACCTCAGGTGATCTGCCTGCCTCGGCCTCCCAAAGTGCTGGGATTACAGGCATGGGCCTCTGTGCCTGGCCTAAAACTGCTGTATTTTTACTAGGATGTTTGTGCTATATATGGTCATGAATTCTGGCCTCTGAAGATGGTGACTCTCAGGTATCATTTCACATAATCTTATACCTCCTGTATTTCCTGTATACTGATAGTGCCTAGACTCTAGATCCTAGGGGGTTCATTAGATTTAGATTTAATATTTTTGGTAAAAAAACCTTAAAGGTGGTAGAGAAGTTTAGTTAAAAAAAGACTTAGTTAAGCAACTAAATGACATTTATTACTTTTTCACAAAAACCACTTAGACATATAGAAAGTCCAATTAGAGCTTTAAATGCTTTGTGAGATAATTAGTAGTATTATAAAATACAATTCCAGTCAAAATTAAAGAAGCTTGATATTTTATTAATTCATACTGTCTTAATGTGGAATAGCCCAATTTCTATTAGAATTTTGGATCCTCAGTTGTAGACTACTTATCTGAAACTCCTGCCCATTTTGGATGGAAAGGTGTCTAAATAAAAAATTCTGCTTAACTAATTCAGTTATATATAAAGATCACAAATTTTTATGTTCTAAACTGTGTTCTAAACTCTTACATACACAGCACCATAACAAAACCACGAGGCACAGATCTTTTTGGCTTATCCCCTTTAGGGAGTGTATCTTAAATTAACCAAGCTTGGCAGAGCCTACCTTTTTTTTCTTTTTAAACCATTAACACCTTGGCAGTAAGAGGAACCAACTGCAATGCTGCCAGCATTTCCAGTGACAGATATTAAGTGCAGACAAATGCCGTGAAATTCTAAATGTCAGCACCAAGAAATTCATTCAAGTACTTATATTTCACTTGGCCATGAAAGACTGATGACTACTTGGAATAAAACAAGTTGTATGGACTCAGTCTGGATTCCGTGCTGTTAGAGTACTATTGGAATTAATAGCTGAAAATCTATTTAATTCAGGCAACAAAATTACCATAGAAAATCCCTATTTTGAGGCTGAGCGCAGTGGCTCAGGCCTGTAATCCCAGCACTTTGGGAGGCCGAGGTGGGTGGATAACCTGAGGTCAGGAGTTCGAGACCAGCCTGACCAACATGGTGAAAACCCATCCCTACTAAAAATATAAAAAAGTTAGCCAGGCATAGTGGCACATGCCTGTAGTCCCAGCTACTGGGGAGGCTGAGGCAGGAGAATTGCTTGAACCCAGGAGGTAGGGGTTGCAGTGAGCCGAGACCATGCTATTGCACTCCAGCCTGGGAAACAAGAGCAAAACTCTGTCTCAAAAAAAAAAAAAAAAAAGAAAATCTCTATTTTGGGGCCAGGTGCCATGGCTCATGCCTATAATCCCAGCATTTTGGGAGGCTGAGGTAGGAGAATCGCTTGAGCCCAGGAGTTTGAGACCAGCCTGGGCAACATGGTGAAACCCTGTCTCTACATAAAATTAAAAAACACCAAATAAATCAGCCGGGTGTGGTGGCTCATGCTGTAGACCCACCACTCAGGAGGCTGAGGCCAGAGGACTGCAGGAGTATTGCTTGAGACTACAGTGAGTGGTGATCTTGCCACTGCACTCCAGCCTGGGTGACAGAGTGAGACCCTGTCTCAAAAAATAATAAATAAATAAAATGAAATCTCTATTTCAGTCTATAGAAGTGAAGGCCTAGAAAATCCAAGTTCACATTTATGTGTTAATAGGAATATTATTAATTGGAAAACCTTGTATCTATTTACTATTTATTGGAAAACCTTCGACATGTTTCTAAGGGTTTTATATATATCATATTATATCATTTGAATCATAAAACCAACCCCTGGGTAGGATTATGTTTATTTATTTATTTGAGACAAGTCTTGTTCTGTTGACCAGGCTGGAGTGCAGTGGTGTGATCTCGGCTTACTGCAACCTTCGCATCCCAGGTTTAAGCAATTCTCCTGCCTCGGCCTCCTGAGTAGCTGGGATTACAGGAGCAATGCCACCATGCCTGGCTAATTCTTTTGTATTTTTAATAGAGACCGAGTTTCACCATGTTGGTCAGGCTGGTCTCGAACTCCTGACCTCATGATCTGCCCACCTCAGCCTCCCAAATTGCTGGGATTACAGGCATGAGCCACCATGCCAGGTCCATTTTATTGTGTTAATTTTAAAATTTTATTTATATTTTTAGAGACAGGGTCTTGCTATATTGCCCAGACTGGTCTCAAACTGCTAGGCCCAAAAGATCCTCCCAACCTTAGCCTTCCAAAGTCTTGGGATTACAGCAGGCATGAACCACTGCACCCAGACAGATGATCTTCATTTTATAGATAAAGAAAACAATAAAATGTCACCCAATTTGTCTGATTCTAAATCAGTACTTAATATTATAATGTTATAATCTACAATGCTATCTTGTTAAAAAACAAAACACAGTAATCACTGAACCCAATCCGTAGGAAAGATAAATTTTCTCATGCTTGATTTTTCACCACAAGCCCTGGTGTTGAATGCTTGTTTATGGTCCTCAAGTGCTCCTTCCTGTTCTAACTAGTAGAGTGTTACGCTGAATGGGCACTTAGTTGTTACCACGACAAAAAGCAACTACGAAAAACATAAGATATGTAATCCCCAACAAGATAGGTAGCCAAGACTCTGGGAACTAGAAAAAACTGGTGTGCTTTGAACCAAGAAATTCCAGTTGGAAAAGAAAAACTAACAAGCTGATCTGAAGGGCTGAATCAAAAAATAAGGGAGTTATCCTTTGAGCTAGAACTGCAAGGTTTAAACACACACACACACACACACACACACACCGAGATTAGTAATTTTGACTTTGGGCTGGGTGTGGTGGCTCACCCTATAATCCCAGCACTTTGGGAGGCCGAGATCACCTGAGGTCACCAGTTTGAGACCAGCCTGACCAACATGGAGAAAACCTGTCTCTACCAAAAATGCAAAATTAGCCAGGTGTGGTGGCTCATGCCTGTAATCCGAGCTACTTGGGAGGCTGAGGCAGGAGAACTGCTTGAACCTGGGAGGCAGAGGTTGCAGTGAGCTGAGATTGTACCACTGTACTCCAGCCTGGGCAACAAGAGTGAAACTTCATCTTAAAAAAATCATTAAAAAAATTTTTTTACTTCGATCAGATTAACTTACTTCTTTTTTTTTTTTTTTTTTGAGACTGAGTCTTGCTCTGTAGCCCAGGCTGGAGTGCAGTAGTGCTCTCTGTTTACTGCCATCTCCCGTGCCCAACCTACTTAACATTTGAATAGTTGTGTCTCAGAGAGCAAGTACAGAAGCCCTCATTACCTGAGGCATAAAGGCATTTGCTTACCATCCTCCTAACTGCTACAACTATTTGCTGGTATCATTTATGTTGCTAAAACTGTTTGGTTCATATGATATCTAGATAAATGTCTTTTTTGACTTATGAGACTCGTAAAATTTCAGAGTTGGACCTGGGTCTTTAAGATGTAGAGTTCAACCACCCACCTAATGCTTGAAGCTGAGGCACAGGATCCCACCTACTGTCTCTCCAGCATATACTTCATGACATGACCCATCATCCTTTAGGCCAGCTTATGCTTACACAGATGCACGCAGGAATCATGTTACTTTCATGTTTGTGTCTTCAATATCTGGTACAGTGCCTGGCACAGTGTTTCTCAAATGACTAGATCCATTAATCACATGCTATTACACTGAACTTTAGTAGTGATAAATTTATCTAATTGTACATCCAATTCATGTTTCTCTACCTTGTCCAAAGGGTATCTAGCATAGGAGACCTGGCTGAAGTTCTGACATATCAAATCCATATTTTCTTTATTGTATCAGGCTAAAAATGATGTTGAGACATTAGACTATTTTGTGATTTTGGCTCTAGTGACCCAGTGGTGGCTCTTAGGTGGTCAGCATTTTCTTTTCTGAGAGCACACCAATCATCACTTTAATATTTTACTCGGATTGATCTGTGACCCTGGTCACCACACCTGACTCAAAGTTAGCCAGAAAATAATAATTACATTTACTGCATTATATGCAAATACATTTATTGCATTATAAGCAAAGGGTTGTGTTTGTGCTCTATTTAATCCTCACAATGATCTTATAAGGTAGATACCATGGATATTTGTTTTTTAATTTTTTTTCTTCAGTACCTATTTTCATCTCCTGACAATAGTTCTAATGTTTTTTTTTTTTGAGATGGACTTTCACTCTTGTCGCCCAGGCTGGAGTGCAATGGCTCACTGTAACCTTTACTTCCTTAGTTTAAGTGATTCTCCTGTCTCATCCTCCCTGGTAGCTCGGATTACAGTCGCCTGCCATCCTGCCTGGCTAATTTTGTATTTTTAGTAGTGAGAGGGTTTCATCATGTTGGCCAGGCTGGTCTTGAACTCCTGACCTCAGGTGATCTGCCCTCCTTAGTCTCCCAAAGTGCTAGGGTTACAGGCTTGAGCCATTGCACCTGGCAACAGTAGCTCTAATTTTTATCTGATGAACCAATTTTCTTTCATTGACAGTTCAAGAGAGCAGGGTGGGAGGCCCTCATCAGATTCCAGAGATTCTGACAAGACTTCAGGAACCTGATGAATCTTAAGCTACTTTTCTTTCTTTATTTTTAAAGACAGGGTTTCACCATATTGGTCAGGCTGGTTTCGAATTCCTGACCTCAGGTGATCCGCTCGCCTCAGCCTCCCAAAGTGCTGGGATTACAGGCATGAGCCACCACGCCCGGCGCTACTTTTCAGATTCATTAAATGGAGTAGGTGGCTTACCACCTTCTTCTGACTGGATGGCTGCTGAACCAATTTTACGTTACTTATAATTTTTTAAAATAATAATTTAAACTAAATCACAGCAAATCTTTATATTAGTACTCACGAAGGGGCAATATCCAGATGGTTGATGCTAAATCCAGAAGAGCAAAAGCCTCCCAGTGTTGTTGATATCGTTAGGAAAGCAATGGCTAAAGAATAATCACAGCCAATGAAGCCAGCAGCTACCAAGAATACGGCAGGTCCAATCATTCCTGGAGTCGAAAAGTTTTAAAAGGGAAAAAAGCCCCAGCATTAATATTTGCTCTTCCTTAATATGGTATAAATCTGAAATTTGAAATTGCTGCCACCTACTGTAAAAACAGTATAATGCCTAGAAGACTAACACATTTCATGGAAAAACAAAACAAAACAAAAAACCTGCTGGAAAACCTGGTCATAATACAACTAATATACTATAAAAGGAAAATCTTATTATGCAATGTTATTAAATTTACAGGTGACCAAAACTCAGCTAAAATTCCATGGTGTTAGAGAAGACGAGAACAACTGAAAAATATGTTTCTAGAGAGAAGCAATAGCTGACACAGAATTTGATTTAAAATACATATAACCAAAGAAGATAAACTAAATAATAAACTCTGTTGGATGAGGTTAGAGAAATACTCCATCTTGGCCAGGTGTGGCAGCTCACACCTGTGATCCCAGCACTTTGGGAGGCTGAGGTGGGAGAATCACTTGAGGCCAGGAGTTTGAGGCCATCCTGGGCAACACAGCAAGACCCTGTCTCTATGAAATATTAAAAACAAAATTCGCCAGGCATGATGGTGCATACCTGTAGTCCTGGTTGCTCAGGAGGCTGAGGTGGGAGGATTGCTTAAGCCCAGAAGTTCAAGGTTACAGTGAGCTACAATGGCACTGGCCATCATGCCAGGCTAACTTTTGCATTTTTAGTAAAGATGGGGTTTCATCATGTTGGTTAGGCTGCTCTCAAACTCCTGACCTTGTGATTTGCCCACCTCAGCCTCCCAAAGTGCTAAAATTACATGTGTGAGCCACTGCACACGGTGAATATTATGAATCTTAAACCTCAAAATGTGATTCAAAAAGAACCTCATGATTCAAAAAGAAACGTGAAGAAATGCACTTAAATGTATCATAGGGTTTTGTTATATGAACAAAGTAAATGACTAATAACATTTTTATCTTGTCTTAAACTGTTGTGATATTGTGATTAAAAAAATATGGTGGGGAGCTGGGTGTGGTGGCTCACACCTGTAATCCTAGCACTGTGGGAGGCTGAAGCAGCAGAATTGCTTGAGGTCAGAAGTTCAAGGCCAATGTGGGCAATAAAGTGAGACCCTGTCCCATTAAAAAAAAAATGGCTGGGGCTGGGTGTGGTGGCTCACACCTGTATTACCAGCACTTTGGGAGGCCAAGGCAGAACTCGCTTGAGTTCAGGAGTTAAAGACCAGACTGGACAACATGGAAAAACACTGACTTTAATACAAATACAAAAATTAGCTGGGCATGGTGGTATATGCCCGCAGTCCTAGCTACTCAGGAGGCTGAGGTGGGAGGATCACCTGAAGCTGAGAAGGTTGAGGCTGCAGTGAGCCAAGATTTCCAGCCTGGCTAAGAGCAAGCCCCTGTCTCAAAAAAAAAAAAAGAAATATGGCCCATGTGGTGGCTCATGTCTGTAATCCCAACATTTTGAGATGCTGAAGCAGGAAGATCATTTGAGACCAGGAATTCAAGACCAGATTGGGCAACATAGCAAGACCTCATTTCTATTAAAAGATTAAAAAATAAAATAAACATACATTTAGTCTCTGCCCTGGTTTTTAGGATGCAGCTCCTAAAACTTTTGGAATCTCTGGAGTGGTAACAGTATCTTTTGTATGCTAATGAGACAACTGGTGAGTGGGGGTCCCCATACAGCTTCAGGATGGTGGCTGGATTAGAGGTCTGGGACTTTCGGCACCACCCTCAACCTCCAGAGAGAGGAGAGGGGCTGAAGGGTGAGTCAGTCAATGGCCAATGATTTAATCAGTCTTGGCCACTTAATGAAGTCTCCATAAAAACGAAAAAGGACAGAGTTGGGATGAACTTTTGACGTGGAGGTTCCTGGAGGGTGGTGTTCCAGGAGAGGGCATGGAAACTCCCTATTTGGTCCCACATAAGCTGCCCTATGCAGCTTTTCTATCTGGCTGTTTGTCTATATCTTTTGTAATACCCTTTATAATAAGCAGGTAAACATAAATAAAGTGTTTCTCTGAGTTCTGTGAGATGCTCTAGCAGATTAATTGAACCTGATGAGAGAGTCATGGGAACCCTGATTTATAGCTGGTCAGTCAGAAACAGGCGTCACAAGCTGGGACTTGTGTTGGCATCTGAAGTACGGAGGTGGTCTTGTGGAACTGAGCCCTCAACCTGTAGGATCTGATGCTACTGCCAGCTGGACAGTGTCAGAATTGTATGATAGGACACCCAGCTGGTGTCCGCTGCAGACTGACTGTCTGGGGAGAAATCCCCACAAACGTTTTGGTGATCAGAGTGAAGTGTTCTGTGTTGAGTATTGTGTAAACTGTGTCTAAAAGTGAGTATTGTGTTAACTTGTGTCTAAAAGTGGGAAACACACTTTATTTTCCTATCTCCAATAGCTATAAATATGGTAAATAACTGTAAACTAAAACCAAACCTGATTTGCTTCACTTACCTATAAGGCTAAACATTCTGCGAACACATAAAGTTGAAAAATTCCATTTTGCCCTTAAATTGTCAGCAGCTTGACCAGACAGGATCATACATAACCAAGAGCCTAAATAAGGCAATGAAGATAAAAGCCCATTCTGGAAGGAATAAGAAGATACAGGATTGATTATGGCGGGAGGAAAAAACAAAACATACACATTCATCACAGCCAACAACCACCACTTGAAAACAAAGGAAATGCATAGCAATATGTTGTTAATTTTTTATATAATTACAGTAAATAAGTCTGGCTTTCAGAAGGATTATGGATTCAGTTCACGGCAGTCCCTAAGAGTCTGTCTCAGAGGAAATAAGGCTTGGCTTAGTCCTGTCTGCTTTGGGTAATCTTGACTGTTTCTTTGGGATTTCGGTTGTGGGAGAAGACAAGCCTTCCTATTAACCTATGGATTCTCCCTACTAAACATTTTCGTCTTCCATTCTCACTTATCTATTTTAAAATATTTTTTACTATAAAATGCAGATGCAGAAAACCACGTTAAGTCAAACATACAGCTTAATGAATCATTCTTTTTTTTTTTGACAGTCTCGCTGTGTTGCCAAGGCTGGAGTGCAGTGGCGTGGTCTTGGTTTACTGCAACCTCTGCGTCCTGGGTTCTAGTGATTCTCTGGCCTCAGCCTCCTGAGTATTGAGGACTACAAGCACCTGCCACCATGCCAGGCTAATTTTTATATTTTTAGTAGAGATGGCATTTCACCATGTTTGGCCAGGCTGGCCTTGAACTCCTGACCTCAAGTGATCTGCCCACCTTGGCTTCTGAAAGTGCTGGGATTACAGGTGTGAGCCATTGTGCCCAGATGGATTTGCTATTCTTTTTTTTTTTTTTGAGATGGAGTTTCATTCTTGTCACCCAGGCTGGAGTGTAATGGCATGATCTCGACTCACCGCAACCTCCACCTCCTGAGTTGTTCAAGCAATTCTCCTGCCTCAGCCTCCCGAGTAGTTGGGACCGCAGGCATGCGCCACCATGCCCAACTAATTTTTGTATTTTTAATAGAGACGGGGTTTCACCATGTTGACCAGGATGGTCTCGATCTCTTGACCTCATGATCCACCCGCCTTGGCCTCCCAAAGTGCTGGGATTATAGGCGTGAGCCGCCAGGATTTGCTATTCTTAATCTTCCTGTGGGTCTCAGTTTTACCCCAAATGATAATTACCAAATTAACCTTGTAATGTGCAGTTGAATGCAATTAATCATTGTGGTAGTATATTATTTATTTTCTTTTTTAGAAATCAGCTCCACTTTATAGTTGAAACGTGGTAGATTACAATCAGGCTCTGTTAACAAAGAACCTGGGAAAAATAAGGCTGTTCACAATGAATCCATCCCTTTTAGAAGTGAATACTGGTACCATTTGAATTTGTCAACTGATATTCTGGCATATTACTAGAGACTATTAAGATCTTCATTGCTAAAGGGAATAACTGGCAAAATATACCTTAATCAAGAGATAGCACACACTGAGAAAAGAAGTAACAATTGTGGAGGCCAAAAGGAGACATCTCTAAAATTTAGGACAGCAGAGTAAAATGGAGGATGCAAAAATAACTGAATTTTATATAGATGAAAACAAATTCTGTATATGGTCTTAAAATTATATATAAGAAAAAAATATAAAAAAAATTATAAGAAGCAGATGATTACTTTTTCTTACCTCTTGAACATTAAACCTTAGGATCTCCTTCATATAAGTAGGCAATAATGTCAATAAAGTATAAAAAGTCCAGTTGTATGAAAAGTGTGCAACTACAATAGCCCAGAGTGGCAGCGATTTTAAAATGGGTACCCATGGCACTGACTTCTGTGAAGAAAGCTGAAAAAGAAACAGGAATAATTAGGATAAGCTACACCTATGTTAATGCTTAGAGCTGTACCATATCAGCTAAAACTCTTCATACAGAATATTACCTTAATTAATAAACTCTAAATTTTTAAATAGCAAAATGCATGATAAAGTAAAAAGGTAATTGTAGAGCTATAATGTCAGCCCTAAACATTGCTTATGAATGTCAGAAGTTATCTGCAGCATTGATTTCTCTCTTTTTTTTTTTTGAGACAGAGTTTCACTCTTGTTGCCCAGGCTGGAGTGCAATGGTACGATCTTAGCTTACTGCAACCTCTGCCTCCTGGGTTCAAGTAATTCTCCTGCCTCAGCCTTCTAAGCAGCTGGGATTACAGGCATGTGCCACTATGCCCAGCTAATTTTTGTATTTTTAGTAGAGATGGGGTTTTGCCATCATGGTCAGGCTGGTCTTGAACTCCTGACCTCCGGTGATCTGCCCACCTCAGCCTCCCAAAGTGATGGGATTACAGGTGTGAGCCACTGCACCCAGCCCGATTTCTTGATTTCTAAAATACAGTTTCATAGTCAAATAATTCAGAGGCTGACATAAGGGTAAAGGAAAGAGACTGGAAGGTCCTGTTAGAATTCATATTTAATTATCCAATCTTTATTCAATTGAAATGATTTATAAGAACTAGGCAATAGAAGGTTTCTGTTGCAGTCATATGGAGCAGTAGTCTTTAATGCAGGGTAAAAGCACCATGGGGGTATGCAAAATGATCTTCTGGGGTGAGGAAAGACATATTTCTATTTTTACTCATTTTTATTCTAAAAATAAGAAACTACACTCTATTAATATTTAATAAATATGTTGGCCCTGGAGTATGTCAGATGATTATAAATTGTATGAGTCCCCTAATTCAGAGGGGTTAAAATGGCGTCTTCACTTGTTTTTTTTGCCCTCAGTGTATTATAGCATATTACAGTTTAAGTGCATTTTTTATTTATTTTATATTATTATTAATTTTTTGAGACACAATCGTACTCTGTCATCCAGGCTGGAGTGCAGTGGCATGATCTCAGCTCACTGCAACCTCTGCCTCCCGAGTTCAAGCTGTATTCTCCTGCTTAGCCTCCTGAGTAGCTGGGACTATGGGCATGCACCAGCATGCCTAATTTTTGTATTTTTATTAGAAACAGGGTTTCACTATGTTAGCTTAGGCTGGTCTCCAACTCCTGACCTCAGGTGATCCGCCCACCTTGGCCTCCCAAAGTATTGGGATTATAGGCGTGAGTCACTGTACTTGGCCTATTTTTTTTTTTATTTTTTTTTTTTGAGACACAGTCTCACTCTGTTGCCCAGGCTGAGTGCAGTGGTGCAATTTCAGCTCACTGCAACCTCTGCCTCCTGGATTCAAGAGATTCTCCTGCCTCAGCCTCCCAAGTAGCTGGGATTACAGGTGTGCCACCACATCTGGCTAATTTTTGCATTTTAGTAGAGAGGGGGTTTCACCATGTTGGCCAGGCTGGTTTTGAATTCCTGACCTCAAGTTATCTGCCCGCCTCTGCCTCCCAAAGTGCTAGGATTGCAGATGTGAGCCACTGCCCCCAAGATAGGTGCATTTATTTTAAGTGCCTTTTAAAGTGCATTTGTGGGCCAGGGGTGGTGGCTCCAAAGGCCAGCACTTTGGGAGGCTGAAATGGGCAGATTACTTGAGGTCAAGAGTTTGAGATCACCTAGGCCAACATGGTGAAACCCCGTCTCTACTAAAAATACAAAAAAAAAATTAGCAGGGCATCATGGCACATGCCTGTAATTTCAGCTACTAGGGAGGCTGAGGCAGGTGAATTCCTTGAACCCAGGAAGCGAAGGTTTTGGTGAGCCGAGATTGTGTCACTGCACTCCAGTCTGGGCAACAGAGTGAGACTCTGTCCCAAAAAAAAAAAAAAAAATTATAATTCAAGGACATGCAAAGATAAAAAAAAAGAAGAAAAAATTATATATATAATTATACACACACACACATATATATATAGTGCATTTGTAGATTTTATTAGACAGTTTTAATTAAATCAAACCTCACAAAATTGACAGTGTCTTCAAAAGATTCCTGCAGAGCCAACAGTTATTAGAAGAGACTCATCTACTAGATAATAGTCTAATGGAAGAAGAGAATTCTAATAATATTTAAACAGACCAAACACTAAGAAAATAGTAGAACTACCACTTTTCTTTTCTTTTCTTCTTCTTCTTTTTTTTTTTACCAGGCTGGAGTGCAGTGGTGCGATCTTGGCTTATTGCAACCTCCGCCTCCCAGGTTGAAGTGATTCTCCTACTTCAGCCTCCCGAGTATCTGGGACTATAGGCTTGTGCCATCTCGCCCAGCTCATTTGTGTATTTTTAGTAGAGACGGGGTTTCACTGTGTTAGCTATGATGGTCTCTATCTCCTGACTGCATGATCTGCCTGCCTTGGCCTCCCAAAATGCTGGGATTACAGGCATGAGCTGCCGTGACTGGCTAAGCTGCCACTTTTCTTGATGAGTCCTTTGTCCGCTATGTCACCAAGCAAAATAATGACAGATCATTAACTATAACATAGCCAAACACATTGCTCCCATTAAACATTATTATTATATTAACAGATTATGGCTGGGCGTGGTGGCTCATGCCTGTAATCCCAGCACTTTGGGAGGCCAAGGAAGGAGGATCACTTGAGGCCAGGAGTTCGAGACTAACCTGGGCAACATGGTGAAACCCTGTTTCTACTAAAAATACAAGCATTATCCAGGTGTGGTGGCGTGCACCAGTAATCCCAGCTGCTTGAGAGGCTGAGGCATGAGAATTGCTTGAACCTGGGAGACAGAGGTTGCAGTGAGCCAAGACCTTGCCACTGTACTCCAGCCTGGGTGACGAGTGAGACTCCCTCTCAAAAAATTAAAAACAACAAATTATTTGTAATTTTTTAGTTATAGCAAAGGTTTTTTTTTTCTATTAAGATGTAAACTTTATGTATATACTGTTTATTTCATCTATCCATCCTTTAAAAGTCTATTTCTGTATATATTTTATGATATACATAAGCATCATAGTACATATAGATGACTTGAGAATAAATATACATACATTCAGATTGTGAGCCCCCCATCTGTTTGTTGATTCTTGCATGATCAAGAAAGCTTGGCTACCACTGATCTAGGGCATCAGATATTTACATTTCCTATACACCAAAACTATGGTTTTTTATATTTCCTTTACACCAAGGCTGTGGCTTTTCTCAAAAGCAAGAGCAATCTATGTTTCTGTCTTCAGGGTTCACAGTTACTGTTATTTTGAAAAGAGGAAGAATCGGAGAAAAAAAAAATTAAAAAATTTTTAAAAAAAGGAAGAACCAGTATTGCCCAACCTTCTTTTGGCCTTCTTTCTATGGACTTTTTACTTGACACCTTGCTAGATATGCTCGTGTTTTTTTAATTTAAAAAAATTAAATTTATTTATTTATTTATTTGTTTGTTTGTTTATTTATAAGATGGAGTCTTGCTCTGTTGTCCAGGATGGAGTGATGTGGCACGATCTTGGCTCACTGCAACCTCCGCCTCCCAGGTTCAAGAAATTCTCCTGCCTCAGCCTCCCAAGTAGCTGGGATTATAGGTGCCCGCCACCACACCTGGCTGATTTTGTGTTTTTAGTAGAAACGGGGTTTTACTCTGTTGGTCAAGCTGACTGAGAACTCCTGACCTCAGGTGATCTTCCCACTTTGGCCTCTCAAAATGCTGGGATTACAGGTGGGAGCCATTGCACCCAGTTGTGTTTTTTTAATATGATCAAAGACATACAGACAGAGGGAAAGAGAAGGAGAGATAACATTTATTCTTTTACAGCAGTGGTTCTCAACTCCAGCTATCCTCAGAATCATCTTTGACACTTTAAAATTATAGGGGCCTATGTTCTATTCTTGGCCTATTGAATAAACAAAACAAAAACAAGTAAAGCAAAAAACTCTGAGTGTAGGGCCAAGGAATCTAAGTTGTTTTTTTTTGTGAGATGGAGTTTCCCTCTTGTTACCCAGGCTGGAGTGCAATGGCGCGATTTCGGCTCACCGCAACCTCCGCTCCTGGGTTCAGGCAATTCTCCTGCCTCAGCCTCCTGAGTAGCTGGGATTGGGGCACGCGCCACCATGCCCAGCTAATGTTTTGTATTTTTATTAGAGATGGGGTTTCACCATGTTGACCAGGATGGTCTTGATCTCTTGACCTCATGATCCGCCTTGGCCTCCCAAAGTGCTGGGATTACAGGCGTGAGCCACCGTGCCTGGCTGGAATCTGAGTTTTAAAGGCTTCACTGGTAAATCTGTAGAGCAGTGGGTTCCTAAACTTTGATGCATATGATCCCAGCACTTTGGAAGGCCGAGGCGGGTGGATCATGAGGTCAAAATATTGAGACCATCCTGGTCAACATAGTGAAACCCCGTCTCTACTAAAAATACAAAAAATTAGCTGGGCATGGTGGCGCGTGCCTGTAATCCCAGCTACTCAGGAGGCTGAGGCAGGAGAATTGCCTGAACCCAGGAGGCAGAGGTTGCGGTGGGCCGAGATCACGCCATTGCACTCCAGCCTGGGTAACAGGAGTGGAACTTGTCTCATTAAAAAAAAAAAAAAAAAAAGAATCACCCATCGGAGCCTTAAAAACACTGAGACCAAGGTCACATCCTAGAGCAACTGAATAGGTTGTGGGTGGGTGGGAGGTATGCATCCCTAGTTTTTGAAGATCCCTGGGTGATTTCAATGTGCAGCAACTTTGGGACCCACTGCTGTAGAGATTAGATTTTAAAGTCTGCCCTCATCCCTCTTAACTGAAAAGCTCAGGACAGAGAGGATTTTAGAGTTTGAAGGAGTTTGGAACATAGCTCTTTTTATATGGCTTTGAAATCCACAAAAGAAGGGAAATCATTCTTTTATGCTGAAAGATACAAGTGTAAATGTATTTGAAGTCTGAAAACTGAATATATTCTGAAGAATGTGTCCTACCTCT